AGTAGCAACGTTGGAAGAGTAGAATTTTCCCCTGCATTCTAGTTAAGTGGACATAGTAACATTATCTTCGCGCAGTTTGTGGTGGCGAAAAGGGCTTGTTGAATTAAAATTTAAATAAGAAAATATAAAATAAAATTGAACAGGAGGAGTATGGATTTTTCATCCTATATATTCAAATTCAAATTTTAACTGAATTAATAACTCAACATTGGTTTCATATTAAAACTATAATTATAAGGTTTGTTCTTTAATTGACATTTCAGCCAAGCATGGTTTCGGAAGAACTTGTTGAACTCGCATCAATCTATAAATAACACTAAGCTTGAAACCGGATTTAATGTCCCACGCATATCAATCTAGTCAGAGGGGGAAAATTATTCTCTTTATTAAACTAACCACTACTCTTGTCAAAATCGTTATAGCAGATGTACTAGTTATTTTTAGTCCTCTCACGAAAAGCATATTGGAACTAAACAGTGGACGTTTAGTCGGTCTGTTGAAGAAGTTAATTTGAATCCAAATTATGTACAATATTGTGGAGGATAGTGCAAATCCGCGTAACTACCATTAGATAATTCCGCGTATCTGCATTACAAGCAGATTATCAGAAGAAGCTTTAAGCTGAAATATTTTCTAAATTAACGACCTTAAAGGTAAATTTTTCACTATAAGTAATAAATTAAATACTAAATAATTATGTACTAATTGTGATAGGAATTAAATTAAACATTATTACATTCAGAAAATAATTTAATTTTAACTTCTACTGTATAACTGATTCGAAAGCTGATACACGGAATAATCTATTACTGATTACACGGATTTACACAATCCATGACCATATCTTTATTTATTCCAAGTAAAAGGAGTCAATTAAAATTAAATTAGTAAGAAGTTTGTTAACTTAAAATAAAATAACACTATTATGATAATTTTGTTTATGTTCGATTCATTTTAGTGGTATGTTATAAAATAAATATTCTTTGTTGCCTTTATCATACAAGACCATATTTCTAACAACCGATTTCATAAATTGCTCTACAATATCCACCCCTTATGATAATGTTCGCTACCGATCATAGAATATATTGAACTTGAACTTAAATAGACTGAAATGAATTTAACTTTAGAATAATATCAGTTGTTTCTGTTTGACTTTAAAACTTGCTACATTGTTAGTTAAATTTTACATGTAAACTTCTCCTTATATACACACATAAATAAAAACTAACCTACATATTTGTCATGTTCTAATTTAATTATTTAGGGCTGAATAAATTGTCACATCGTTAGTGGAAAAACAAATGTTACATACAGAAGGTACATAAAGTATTCGGCTGGGAATTCATTATTCAGACAAAATAAAATATAGGGCGGTTTCATGGCATTTATTGATGCGTAACAATCGAGTCTATGAAATTTGAAGCAGTCTTGAGTGTGATAGATAAATACGTGTCTTCGCATACGTATATAACAGATACATCATTAAGTGTATATACATACTAATGATTGGTTGTTTAATTTTTACTTGCTTATACATGTACTAACTAGGATTTTTTTTGGTATAAAAATAGTAGTTTTGGAATAGAGTGAAGACTTCTTTGCTTGAATTTCTTTAGTAGTAAGCTAAGTACCGAGCGCGAGATAAGTCTATAAAACTTCAGAGGTTTCTACGGTTGTGGATTAGATAGATTAAGCTTAATCTGAGTTTTCGAATGAGTTCCCGCTTTACTAATGTTGTTTCTTTGTTCGTTCAAACCATCTGTTGTTAGTAGAAGATTTAATATTATAAGTGCCTCCAGTTATGAAGAACGTGTCTCTAGCACACACATTTGATCGTATCCGGGATTATAGAAGGAAAAAGTTTTTCCCGATGTTCATTACATTGTAGTTTATGTTAACCTCGTATATTAAAAAATAGCAAGAAATTTGAGACAATAAGTGCATTTAAGTTCTGTTTAATATTGAAGCTGCTAAGCATGTGAATGACTTACATTTTATTATTGTAGATTTTTTATTCACAATATGTTTTATAATAACTTGATACATAGTAATTACTTCAAGATTATGCTCTCAATTCAACGATATATTTATTACATAAAAGAAAAATTGAGGTCCTCGAAAAAATATGTAACGTTCACGGTTTTAAGGTAGTATCAGTAATGGTGGTACGAATGAATTAAACTGTTTTCAGTACGGGAACTTCAATGATGATGAATCCACTATCCTTATTTATATGAGTCTTATTTACATATTAGTATATTCTAACTAGAGTAACCCGAGGAGCAGGGGATGACCACAAAATAGTTTGAACTCATTTGATTTATCTAGCTTTATATTGATATCTATCAGAACTCAATGAAAGAAAACTAAAGGCTCTTTCATCCATTAATTTTCTCTACAAATGAAGTTAAACATACAACTTTTTAAAAGCTTGGTTATAAAAAAAAGGGGGGAAAAATATTAAAAGGTTTAACATCTACCAGTCGGTTCCATAATGAACTGTTCTGATATAGTTCTACTCAATATGTTATTACATGTCGTTGTCTTCATAACTTGAAGTCACAAGCATATAGCTGTTGAATAACTAATATTTATAAGGTCTCTTTCGCTATACACCGTGTATCTGTTCCAGATATTTCAAAATGAGGAACTGTTCCATAACTTAGGGAAGATAAGTTGGAAATTATATAAGTAACAATAGTTATTCAACTGGACTTAATTTGGTAATCCTTATTCTATCTATATATATAAAAATGAATTACTGTTCGTTAGTCTCAGTAAAACTCAAGAACGGCTGAACGGATTTATCTTATCTTAGTCTTGAAATGTTTATGGAGGTTCAGGGAAGGTATAAAAGCTAAAAAAGTTGATTAATTTCCGGGAAAACCCTAAAATAGCCCTTTTCTATTCCCCATACAAACGTTTTTTTGACATTAAATTTGACAAGTAACTAATATGTCAATCATTCTGTTCGATTGAAACAGGAAAAATTTACTGAATACCAATACCTGGTTATTTAAAACAGAATAGAGTTCGCCCGGTCAGCTATACATACATTACTAATGAAGAAATTAACGCGGATGAAGTCGCGGGCAAAAACTAGTTAGAGATTAAAACGCTTTTGTAGACTTTCAATAATTTCTTTGTCAAATATTGTATTTATTCGAGCTTTCATTATTTTTTCGAATCAAATCATTGAGTTGAAAAAGTTTTTAGATGCAATTTTATATAATTACATAAAAAAGGTTTTCGTTTCGTCTTTTAGTACTCTAATGTTATAGTTGAGATCGGAAATACAATTATGTATATTTTTTTTTTTCTGAGATCCTTATGCAGAAAAGTTAAAACTTCAATGGCTCGAATGGTTTTGACGGTATAATCTATTTCATCAAAGGCCCAAAATATCAGTTCTTTATATGTATAAAAAACAAAATATTCCCTGACCGACGAACACAAACAAAAGTATGTAGCTTGTACATTTTTTTTAATCGTCTGTTGAATGAAAAAATTAAAAATGATTTCATATACTTGACTGGTAAATTAATGAAAACAAAAACAAAGAAATAATTTTGATAAACAACAGTATTTAGATAGTTCTAATTGTATGGTTAATATAAAAGTATATATAACCAAATATGGTAGCAGTAGTTTTTAGAAACTAAATGTACTTCAATAAATGTCTTATAATAAAAATCCTTGATAGGATTTACTGTTCAATATTGGGAGTGAAGCCATCCAAACAGACCTTGTAGAACACAATCATATTTTCTATATATAGAAAAAAATATCGGTAAGCTTTTTTGCATTCCTATCTTTTGTTTTTGATCAAAGTAGTTTGAAATAGATTCTGGTGTCTGAAAGAGGCGCTCATGTGGATTAAGGGATTAAATGAAAAGTAGTTTCTGACATATCGAAGTATAAGAGCCGATTTTTAAATATTGTATTCCAATGATGTAGGATTAAATTAAATATGACACAGCAAGAAAAATATTTATACTTCATCCATTTATTATCATGCATTGCCTACATTAAAATTATTTCAATTTATGTATAAAAAGTCGAGCTATTGAGTATAGCTATTGTCATTAAACATTTCGATGCTAATATTATAGAATTTTATTTAAAAAAAATTGAAATAAAATTTCATATAACTGTAGACCACTTCAGAATATATTTTAGAGAGTGAAAATATGGTTAAATCGTTATAATAAACTCAGTTTAAAACTATCACGCCAGTTTGGTTTGAAAAATATAACATAGATTTAAAAAATACATATATGCGATAGTAGAAAAAAAGTAGCAATATATTTTTCATTTAAACATGTGCGTTATGCGAATGTCGTTTAACTTTCCAATGAAAAAACAATTGTGACCAGAAAACATAATTAAATTAATAGAATATGTTAAAAAATAACTGTTTTATGCTTATAAACTTGCACATAGTTTCAAGACGACTTTTAAGTAATTCTTCATATATATGCATTATCTTAAATTGGTCGTGTGTTTTATAGTGATAATTAATCAAACATTTATTTAATTACCATACCCATTGTTATTATAATGTGATGAGATGAGTTTCCTAAGTCCTCGTTAACATATTAACATAGTAAGAGCTCATAGATCATATGAAACAAATCAATTTCACGATGATTACACTTCTATATAATTATTATATTCCTTAAACACACACATATATACAGTATTGTGTTGTATTAGATTTTTTTAATTTAAATTACGAACATCATCTAACTATATGTAAACAAAGAAATAAATATTTGATACCGGAATAGAAAAACACTTCCAATGTTCTATAATTTAATAATAATCTATTACTTTATGCTAAGTAAAAAGTCAAAAATAATGAAAATAAAATACAGCACAGTTAAATAGCTTATTGCTATAAATAACAAATATTTCCTTATAAAAAAAGTCGCAAAAAGTTGTAACGTTTTACTAAATAAAAATTAAGGTATAATTATTACACTAGAATAACTTTATCAACAAAAGAATCCTCTTATTGTCTTGATGACCATGTACACCGCGACCATCCAACCAGCTACCACCATAGCGCCACCTACTGTTCTATGGACCTCACAAGAATCTGTGTTGCAGCCGTACCTTAATGTATGAAAAATAATATTTAAAGATATTATAATCATTAACACTAATATCCATTTTTAAAGTCACGTTCCCTTGACGAGAGTTGCACTCAAACACCTTTTCAACAATGAAGACCTGACTGTCCTCCGTGCAGATAAAGGGAACGCGACCTTAATAATGGTTACGAGTGATTATGAAATTATAAAATAAAAACAGTTTCAATTAAAAAGTGATTTTCTAGAGCACTGATAAAATGATAAAATTCAGGTATATAAGTGTATATTTATGTTTTCATCTATTTATTTCAATTGAAAGTAAAAAGTTGATTGTAATCTTAACTGAAAGTAAAAAGTTGATTTATCAAAATTTATTATTTAATAAATGAGAATCACATAACACCCTGCTTAAGATATAGTATTATGCAATTATAAATTTTATAAGATGTGCAATTATGATGACTATTGCTTACCAAACTTGTGGAAAACAAATTAATGCTACAGTTGCATGAAACAAATCATTGTAAGTGAAAGTTGAAAGGATGTAAATGTAATCTTGATAATCGTTGCGGTGTTAGTATAGTGATGGAAAAGGACCTGTTAGACTGACAATTGAAATTGTTTTGGTCTAACTGCTAATACTACTTTATTTATCAAACTTTACTAATATTCTTAAATAGGAATAGAATATTTAAAAAATCAACTTATAAGAAATTTTATATATAGTATTTACACTTACTTGATTAGATATGCACCAATAATGACGCCACACGCAGCAACACTTCCCACTAAGGTCAGCGAAAAGAAAGTAACCAACACAGCTTTTAAAACTCCTTCTAATATGGCCAAAGTTAATTTGGCAAAAGCGGCAATTATTTTGATGATTCCATCCATTACAACTAATTGGTATCATTTCGGGGTCTAATTAATGTTCTCCAAAAATCAACTTGCAAAGATCAAGTGCTTTGAAAGCATAATTTGATTGCCTTGATATTTTTATATTGAATATACCTTTTAGATCCTTTCAATAATTAAAATATTCTTGAATGTTGTACTTTATTTATATTTTTTTTATAATTGTTAACTATTAATATTATAATAATAAAGAACTTATATTCACAATATTATTAAATTCCTCTTGAGTCTTGACATACTTATTTCTGACGTTGGCCGTCAATTGGGCATAAAGTTATGAGAATTTATGACATGCTTATATGTTTATAGGTGGTCTACAGACGTGAAAAAATAAGGAAAGAATGAAGAAGGACACATTGTTATATGGTCCAATATGTGTTTCTTATTAGTACAAAAAGAAAACGTTAAATCCATGAGAAAGTTTATTAATATTATTAATTATTTTACTTAATTTTTACATATTAAGTAAGAGGCAAAATAATTATTTTCTTTAGGATCCTACGGAAAATTGTATTTTAGTACAGGTATTGTAAAATTAATAAATCATAATTTATAGTTGCGTTAAATAAATAAATAACTATAAAAAGTACTTAACTGTCGACATAATATTTGTTTTAAAGATAAATTGTTGTTCGAATAAAAATAAAATTTATATATAATATACGATATCTTTTCTTTTAAAATTATACAATTTGTTGTATTTTGTTCATAAGACATATATTTTTTAAAAGACTATTTTGGTGTCAGTCTGTTTGCTTCATTTAATCTCTGAAACGGCTGGAAACGTGATGTAATAAGGAATGTATGAGGAAAGTTTTTTATTTTGTTCTTTTAATATACATAATGATTAAATAGCTATAACAAGAGGACAATGCGTAACCACTTCTAGTAAAGATATATAAGCATAACTCACAATAATAATACATGTTTCTGTTTTGGCATAAAAAAAACTATTGTAATAGATTAAAAGCACATTCAATTAATCATGTGGACGTGATTTAAAACTGTCGTCACGTCTGTATAAAAAAGTAATTTAATATTTTACTTAAAGAAAGAAAATCCTGAAGATTATTAAATTGATATATTTTTTATTACTAAGCTCGTAATACACCATTTTCTCATCCATCAACATTACTTTGAGTTATAAACTCACGCTCTGTTAGAATCAAACCGTAACTTATTGAAAATAACTTCACAGAGTATTTCTTACGCTCTTGCAATAAACTTAATGTATTCTTATGTTCTTAAAATGACTTAAGCAATAAAACAAAAATAAAACTTGACAGTATTAAGTGAAGAAAATTATTCACTTGCTATAATTTCCAAGTTATGGAAGCATTTAAGTAATTCTCTAAACGTTCGAAGGTTCTTATCGGACCATTTAATCTTTTAAGGACTTCGAAAAGTTTTCAATTGTTCACGACGATTCTGAATTCTTCTGGGCTCAAATTGTATATTACCTTTCTGACATCAAGGAAAATACAAATAAAATCCTTAAAGTAAAACAACGAATTAAATATTGTAGGGACAAAATTATTTTAAGTACTTACCAACGTAAAAGGTAAAAATATTTAAAGTGTTACATCCCTTGTGTTTCTATTGACTATTGAGAGGGTGTCTTATAGTAATAATAATGAAAAAATGCTGAAATTAATAAGGTGTAATTAAATCAAATATTAAACCGTACTTTGAAGAGACTGTGTCACTTTAAATCAGGAAGGAAAACAGTTATTGGGTCGACGCCGTAATTGAGTTGTGTACTTGTTATTCTAATTATTGTTTAATAAAAATTTATGTTTTAGGAGTTTTATGCAGCGTAACATTCAAAATTTTATCGTAATTTTTATTTCCAAAAAAAATATTTCGTTGTTTTTATCGGAAATATTATGAATTAGTTTTCAGCTTCGACTTTGACTGCGTTAGTTTCAGAAATAGAAATGTACAACTGGTCGGGCCAACTGTATTTCTCCTTAAATGCAGTAGATAAGAAGATTTTGGATTTGATCAACTTATTTTCTTTTCGTTTTCGATCGGATGAAAAATATCCTGCGTTCTTTCCCTTCTCCTCAGCTATATCTCCACAAATTTTCAGTCAAACCCGTTCAGTCGTTCGTGAGTTATAAATAGTGTAAGTAACACGACTTTCTTGTATAAAGATTGTATGAATTTTTCATCATAACTCAAGTAAAACTTAATTCTAGTAAGAACTTATATTTTATGACAATGTTACTGGTTGGATTCCATCCAAAAATAAATGGGATGAACTGCATTGACGTTACTGAACTTAAAACGGGTCATGGTGTACTATTTGGTCTATTTTATTTCGGTCTCAATTTCAATTGTAGGACACCCTGATTACGGATATAGCGGCTATAAATCTAGAAAACATGCTATCCTGCCAAGAACTTTGTCGTAAACGCCTGCTTTGAGTATCTTGACACTTAGGCTTATTGCGACCATATAAAACACGTCATGTACATTGTCATAAAAATTCCTGTCATAAAATATAAAAAAACTTATTGAAAAACAATACTGTGTAGAATACAAAACAATAATTGTAATACATATATAAACACACGGATTTACTAATAGATTTTTTGCGGAACTGAATATCTTTAATATTTGCAGACGTTTTGAAGTAATTAATATTTCTTAATGGTATTAATAGTTTAGGAAAGTCAAGATAAAATTAACACGCACTCAATTTAATGAATCTAAATAGCCGTAGGTAGGAAGCAAAGTACAACTTTTCTAATCTTTAATTCATCACGGCGTTAGCGAAGAAGTTTTCCCTCGATACAACTGATTTTACCTTCGTTTATTACCTCTCCCTTGGGGCCGTTGTAAATTGACTGTGAAGACTTTGTTCACTGAAAATTATTTATTGTACCACATTATTTATGAGATAAAATACAAAGTGATACATTACTTTCTTTTAGAAAAGACTTTTATGTTATTTTATCCATATAATTTTGTTAGCAGTTAGGTGGTTTTATTATAAAAAATAAATTTTTAAATTTACACTATACAATTCGACATTCATAATAAATTATTCAATTCATTTGAAAGCACTACTTTTTTTAAACGAATTGATTAATTTTATTGTGGTATGAACTGATATGTGTGTCAATACTTATAATCTGTTTAAATGAGGTTTAATTACTGAATTAAAAAGATTAGAAAAAAATTATTAAAAGTTACAAAAAGTTGCGATGTAAAATAATAGATAAAATATTAAATCGCTATGGCAACTCCATTTATATAGTTTCTTATAGTAGTTATTTATTACTAACATTTATCAAAGGCATGTCGTGGTTTAAATAGGCTAATGGAAAATGATGTAGGTATGTCACTTTGTTAGACTATCATCGATTTTGCTTATTTGGAAGGTAAATATCAGAATAGAAATAGATAAATTAGGGTAATTATATTAGAGAATTTGCAAAACTTAAAATTTTTATATTACTAACCAGTAGATCATTATTACCTCTGTCTTATTTCTTTTTTTCAGATAATGCTGAAACTAAAGGGTGCATTTAATGTTGACACGATATCTACCAGTCACTGCTAATGATTGGAAGTTTTTGTAGACAACGTAATTTTGCTTAAAATAGAATGAAATATTTAAAAAAATAATTGGAATGTTATATTAAATTAAAAAGAATATTTTGTTATTAAAGTATTATACAACAATAAAGAAAAATAAGTACACATAAGTTATCACTACTTCTTTAAAACGATTATCCTTTTATTGGGAAAATATCATGTAATACCCGAATAATTTAATTGTTCAGTATTCAGTTGTTTACAATTAATTTACAGTTATTTAGTCAAAAGGTTTTTGTGCGACTTTGAGTAGTCTTCCGTGCGTTTATTACCTTTAATAAAATATTTCACAATTGTTTAAAAAACTAGAAATTGTGTTGTAAATAGTTTTAAATAGTTCCATTTTAATTTCTATATGAAAGTTAAATATTTTATCAGGTATCAAATTAGAAAATTTTGTTTTTCAAAAACTTCATAAATATTATTAAAATGTTAACTATATGGTAATATAAATAAAAGTAAGCTCTTTGTTATATTTCCATTTCTCATTGGTTTTTTGGCAGACGTATATCAATTCCTTTGATTGTAACTTAATATTGCTGGCTTTTATTAGAAAACAAATATTCAAATATTAAACAAGAGAAACTTTCATTTGATTTAACTGAAATTGGATATGTCATAGAAAGAAGCGTAAATACATAACATAGAAGGCAACATATCCTTTCAATATGTTACCCGGAAAATAGAGTTATAATAATTTTCCCGGAATCATCTCTCTGAAGAGCTATCCTTAATAATAAGATGAAACAAAGTAACATAATACTTCAAATAATGTGGAAATGATCCAAATTATCTCGTACGTTTAAGGGGTAACTTTGTGTACTTTGAGGGTCAATATTGGCAATTATGTCACGCCCTATCAGTACTTCGAATAATTTATCTAGTGGGTCTTTATTATTTCAAAACAAATTTCTAATACGCTTCAACGTAAAATTAAATCGGATTATAAATGGGGCTTTACATATAATTATTAAAAGGCCTTTACATAATATTTTGTGATAAAGATATTTTTTTGGAAAAAATACGTTATTTTATTTGAAACAAAAATTCTGTCACTGTGTAACAATTTCATGTCAAAAACTCCAATTATATTCGTTTGCAGACATTCATTGTGTGTCAGTGTGATACTGATATTTCAATGTTTCACGTATCCGTTTTTTTGTTTTTCACTAAAAACTGTATAACGTTTTGCTAAAATTTCATTTTGAGATAGATGGAATTGAAACTATATAGCTGTTGTCTTGACCATACCAAAATTATATGACAAACACAGGCGTAGACAGACTATTCGAATACAGTATAAGGAAGAAAGTAGCGTTATTTAAGGGCCAATGTTCTTTCTTCACAAAAAGTGTTATTATTCTAAGACTGCA